AAAAAAAAAAAAAAGACTGTAGAAAATCTCAGATGGGCAATACTCAGAGTCAGAAAACAGAGCTCAGGGCTGGCGCCGCGGCTCACTAGGCTAATCCTCCACCTGCGGCGCCAGCACCCCAGATTCTAGTCCCGGTTGGGGCGCCAGATTCTGTCCCGGTTGCTCCTCTTCCAGTCCAGCTCTCTGCTGTGGCCCGGGAGAGCAGTGGAGGATGGCCCAGGTCCTTGGGCCCTGCACCCCATGGGAGACCAGGAGGAAGCACCTGGCTCCTGGCTTCGGATCAGCTCAGCTCCAGCCGCTGCAGCCATCTGGGGAGTGAACCAGTGTATGGAAGATCTCTCTCTCTCTCTCTCTCTCTCTCTCTCTCTCTCTGTCCTTCTCTCTCTAACTGCGCCTCTCAAATAAATAAATCTTAAAAAAAAAAAGTTAAGGACAGCTAGGACAACAGACACGGGGCTCAAGAGTGAACAATGGGAATGACTTCGGGAGCCGGGAGGGCCTTCCTGAGTGAACCAGGGTAGAGTGTGACCGCACAGGTGACGACGGCACCCGGGTGGGAAGCTCTGAGTAAAGTTACCTGACTTTTAGAAAGATAAGTACAGGGCCGGCGCTGTGGCATAGTGGGTAGAGCCGCCGCATGCAGTGCCAGCATCCCATATGGGCACCGGTTCGAGTCCCAGCTGCTCCACTTCTCATCCCGCTCTCTGCTGTGGCCTGGGAGAGCAGCAGAAGACGGGCCAGGTCCTTGGGCCCCTGCACCCGTGTAGAATACCAGGAAGAAGTTCCCGGCTCCTGGCTTTGGATCGGCACAGCTCTGGCTGTTGTGGCTGGCCAATTAAGGAGTGAACCAGTGGATGAAAGACCTCTCTCTCTCTGTGACTCTTTCAAATAAATAAATATAAAAAAAAAAAAAAAGATAAGCAGGACACTAGCCAAACTGACATATTCCAGCTACAGAATACTGTTGAGCCTGTCCATTTACTACCAGTGCCTGTTTAAGAGGAAAAAAGATGGAATAAAGAAAAATCAGCCAAGGAGATTTGCAATGTTCCATCCCAGGAACTGGGCAGGAGGAAGGCACCCTCCAGGGCAGCGTGCGGGCCGTAACAGAAGGCACAGGCCAGGTGTTTCACAAAGCACAGAAACAGACCCGTCGGTTCTGGAGGTCAGGACCCGGTCTCCCGGCTCCCACGGCAGCACCTGCAGCACTGCGCACACCCACAGCCTAAGAGCAGAAGGCACAAACTACTCCTGAAAGCCCTCTGACCGCGGCAAGCACCCACGCGTGCAGGCCCTGTCCCGCCTACCAGCACCACTGCACCGGGATTCGGCCCCCAGCACACCCACTTTTGGGGGATCGCACACGGCCCGCACAGCAAATGGATACAGAAACTGTGACAGAATCACGCAATGGAAATGCTGGTGCAATGAACATTAACAACAGGCACACAGACTCCCGTGACACAGAGCGGAAGAGGCAGGTCACAACACACACGGCGCCACTTCCGGCACTGTGACGTCCAGAAGCTGGCCAAGCAAGACTCGGGCTGCGAGAGAGGACTGCTGCCCTCGGGGGCTGGGGGAGACTGGGGGTACTGCTCTCCGGGAGCTGGTGGAAATGGGGGGACTACTGCTCTTGGGGGCTGGAGACGGGGGGACTACTGCCCTCAGGGGCTGGGGGAGACAGGGGCGTGGGGCTGGGGGAGATGGGGTAGGGGGCTACTGTCCTTGGGGGCTGGGGGAGACAGAGTGGGAGGCTACTGCTCTTGGGGGCTGGGGGAGACGGGGTGGGGGGCTACTGTCCTTGGGGGCTGGGGGAGACGGGGTGGGGGGCTACTGCTCTTGGGGGCTGGGGGAGACAGGGTGGGGGGCTACTGTCCTTGGGGGCTGGGGGAGACGGGGGGACTACTGCCCTCGGGGGCTGGGGGAGACGGGGGGGCTACTGTCCTTGGGGGCTGGGGGAGACGGGGGAATGGGCTGGGGGAGACGGGGTGGGGGGCTACTGTCCTTGGGGGCTGGGGGAGACAGGGCATGGGGCTGGGGGAGACGGGGGGGTTACTGTCCTTGGGTGCTGGGGGATACAGGGGCGTGGGGCTGGGGGAGATGGGGGGCTACTGCTCTTGGAGGCTGGGGGAGACGGGGGTGCTACTGTCCTTGGAGGCTGGGGGAGACAGGGGCGTGGGGCTGGGGGAGACGGGGGAATGGGGCTGGGGGACATGGGGTGGGGGCTATTGCCCTCAGGGGCTGGGGGAGACGGGGACAGCAAACGGGAGGGTTTCTCAACTGAGTGCTGATCGAGGAACGTCTCACAGTAAAAAGAGGATAAGCCCGAGTCCAGGAGTAGACATCTGCTCCTGCCTCCGGTTAAGACACCGATGATCGAGAACAACACTGGTGCCGAAACCACCAAGAGAACGCAGAACACACAGCAACAAAGTCGCACAGAGTCACCACAGAGCGTCCAGAAGCCCAAATGAACCGCTCCAGAACGAGCTGCCTCCTCCAGTGCAGGTCCATCCCGCGAGCTCAGGGCAGACGGAGAAGGCAGCCGGAGCCACCAGGCAGGAAAACAAGGCCCCGTGCGCTGTCTGAGCTGGCGAGGTGGCCTGGAGGCCGGCGGAGGCTCACCTGCGGGGCGACCGGCTCCGCGGACGGGGGCAGGGCTGGACAGCAGAGGGCTCTGTGACCACACAGCGATCAGATCCCAGCAACTCGCTGGAGGAGGGGCCCCCCCCAAACCCTGATGAACTAAAAGTAACGCAGGTGGCAGGCAGCCCAGTTATGATCCAAGTCCTGATGAGATAAAAAGACAAGCCCCACACTCTAGCCTCCGGAGAGAAGGACAAGCCCTTCCTGCAGGGAACGGTAGCTGCCTGGGCTGGCGTGGCAGCACACGGGTTAGCCGCCGCCTGGGATGCCGGCGTCCTGCGTGAGATCCAGCCCCATCACCGCGGCCGTCTGGGGAGTGAACCGGCAGGTGGAAGATCAACCTCTCTCTCCCTCTCTCTCCCCCTCCCCCTCCCTCTCCCTCTCTCTCTCTCTCTGTAACTCTGCCTTTCAAGGAAATAAATAAAGTTATAAAAGAATCAGCCACCTGCTGGACAGCTCCATGTGCAGCTCCAATCATCTCCCACGGAAGCTTTTTTAGAGCACAAAGACATCAGGGGCTTCAGTCAACACTGCACGGCACGCTGGGCTGCCTTCAGAGTTGTTGTTGTTGTTGTTTAAGATACATTTATTTATTTGAGAGGCAGAGTTACAGAGAGAGGGAGAGACAGAGGTCTTCCATCTGCAGGTTCACTCTCCAAATGGCTGGAATGGTCAGAGCTGGGCCAATTTGAAGCCAGGAGCCAGGAGCTTCTTCTGCGCCTCCCATGCAGGTGCAGGGGCCCAGGCACTTGGGCCACCTTCTACTGCTTTCCCAGACCAACAGCAGGGAGCTGGAATGGAAGTGGAGCAGCCGGGATTCGAACCAGCGCCCATATGGAATGCCGGTGCCACAGGCGGATGCTTAACCTACTACACCATAGTGCCAACTGCTCAATCAAAATTTACTGGCATTTTAAGAACCATGAAGTAGGAGCTGGCTTTATTATTACAGCATCAGTCAGAGGTCCTGCAGCTAAATGCGGGCGGACGGCGGAGGAACCAGGACGGGCCTGCAGCGGCGCTCAAGTGCTGGCAGCCCGGTCCTCTGTGACACGCCTCGTCACCCTCACTGCGATACAGCCAAGTGAGCCGAGGGCTGGTCCGGGACTACGGTGGGGCTGGCCGAACCCTCTCCGCCCTGCACGCCTGGGGGTCCCAAGCACGTTCACTTGGGAGACGCAGGGGCCGCCACACAGGTCCGGTTTTGCTCAGAGGCTCACTCAGAGGACTGGTAACCTTATGCCGCTCCGCAGCTAGAACGGAGACGCGAGGGCATCGGCCCCTCCTGCGCCCACACAGATCCGCTTCCGCCCCGAGTCCCTGCCCTGCCAGGGCCCCGCTGGCCACGGCGAGGCCCTCCCCCCAGTCTCTTCTCACACTCTGCATTCTTGGCAGACCTTCGGGGGGTTTCCTGGTACACTTAGGGTGGTGAGATGAGGAGCTGGGAACGTTTCTAACCCTCATTTTCTTGGTTTAAAATGTGCATTGGGGGCCAGTGCTGTAGCGGAGCTCCTGCCTGCAATGCCAGCATCCCATACGGGCGCCGGTTCAAGTCTCGGCTGCTCCACTTCTGATCCAACTCCCGGCTAATACACCTGGGAAATCAGAAGATGGCCCAAGTCCTTGGGCCCCTGCACCCATGTGGGAGACCCAGAAGAAGCTCCTGGCTCCTGGCTTTGGATTGGCACAGCTCTGGCTATTGCAGGCATTTGGGGAGTGAACCAGTGGATGGAAGACCTCTCTCTCTCTCTCTCTCCCCTCTCCCCTCTCCCTCTCCAATAAACAAATAAATCTTAAAAAGAAATGAGCCTGGGTCCCACGGCTGCCAGTGCAGTTTCCTCACAGAGCCCCGAGACCACACCAGTGGCAGAGTAGGGGAGCTCAGGGACCCCAAGAGCCACCTATCCCCCGGCTCCAGTCCTCAGAAGCCCCTCTCTCCAGCTGTCTGTCCCACTGCCATCCCCTGGGCCTGCCTCCTCCATGCAGTCCTCTGGGTCTGGATGGCGGGGGATGGGCCCTGGCCAGGCCGGCCAGTCAAGGTCCAGTCACAGCCTCAGACCAGACTCTTCCACCTGCACTGCCCGTGCCCGTGGGGTCCAGAGTTGAGGACATGAAGTCTGCAGCATGGAGCTGACAACGACCCCCCACCAAGTCAGCAGCCACAGACCCAGCTCCTGGGGACATGGTAGAGCAACAGGACAGCCTGCCCCCAGTCTACACCTGTCCCCCAGTGTCGGTCAGCCCTGGCTGTCCACGCCAGGGCCAGCTCCCTCATCACAGGCCTGACTGGACGCCGCCCCGTGAGCCTTGGCCGCCTCCTCCAGGGCGTACCCCGCCAGCGCCTCACTTACTGATGCGGTAGCCCAGGCCTTCCGCATGGATCCTCTTGGCCATGAACTGTCCTTCGACCAGAGCTCGGATCTCCACGTCCCCAGGGAAGGCTGAGACCTGTGGCCAGGAAGGGTGGGCACACAGTGAGGTCCACAGGTGCATGTGTGACAGGCAGAGACGGGGGGGGGGGGAGGGAGAGGGAGAGGGAGAGAGGGAGAGGAGAGGGGGAGGGGGAGAGAGGGAGGGAGAGGGAGAGAGGGAGAAGGAGAGGGGGAGGGGGGAGAGAGAGGGAGGGAGAGGGAGAGAGAGGGGGAGGAGAGGGGGAGGGGGAGGGGAAGAGAGAGGGGGTGGAGAGAGGGGGAGGAGAGGGAGGGGGAGGGAGAGAGAGAGGGGGAAGGGGAGGGAGAGGGAGAGGGGAGAGGGGAGAGGGAGAGGGGAGAGGGGAGAGGGAGAGGGAGGGGGAGGGGGAGGGGGAGGGGGAGAGGGAGAGGGAGAGACGTTCCCCTGGAGGGCTCTTTACCCACGGTCACACACACAAGCTCACTCAGGGATCTCCAGACTTCAGTCCCTGGCAGCTGAGGGTTTGCTTTTGCTGCTGATGTATTGTGGGTTTTTTTTTTTTTTTTTTTTTTTGACAATTCATTTTATTTATTTGAAAGGCAGAGTGACAGAGAGACAGAGACTGAGAACCTCCATCCACTGGGTTCACTTTCCAGGCCACAATGGCCAGGGCTGAACCAAGCAGAAGCCAGAAGGCAGGAGCTTCATCCTGGTCCCTCGAGCGGTGGCAGGGTCCTGGGCACCTGGGCCTCTTCTACCGCTTTCCCAGGCCACAGCAGGGAGCTGGGTTGGAAGTGGAGCAGCTGGGGCAGGAACCAGCCTGCATGGATGCGGGCGCTGCAGGAGCAGCTTTCCCGCTGCACCACGGCGCGGCCCCAGCCTCTGTCTTTCCTGACGAAACTGAGGTAGCGGTGGCGCCTGGGTCTTGGGGCAGCTGGGCAACAGAGCCTGGCACGCGTTACTGACGTTCGCTAAGTGAGGGCCATGAGCTTAGGCCAAGACACACAGGCTGTGCAGGGTCCTCCCAGCTGAACCCGATGGGCCCAGCCCAGGCTCGCTTCCCAAGGGCAGAGCCCGCTTCTCTCCCTCCTCCCTCCCAAACTCCTCCACTCTACCCTCGGCTCCCGCCGCATCCCTCTGGGGAGGTCCGTCCCACACTTCCAGTGCCAGGGTCCTCCCACCCGCGGGTCTCACCCTCCAGGCCCCTCTCACAGAGGCTTACAGTAAAAAGCTGTCCACCTGCTCACTGCCCAGCTCCCCCCTGGACTGCGGGCCCCACGGAGCAAGGGCCACAATGCGTCCTGTTCCCTCTGCTCCCCGTGCCTGGCACCCACCATGTGTAGCTGTTGGGTGAATGACTGACTGACTGACTGAAAGGCACCACCATCTCCCTGCAAACCTAGGACTGTCCTGCACAAAAGAAGACAGGTGTGTGTGGCAGGAGCGGGGACGACACTGTGGCCTAGTGGGTAAAGCTGCCTGTAGCACTGGCATCCCATGAGCGCTGGTTCGAGTCCCAGCTGCTCCACTTCTGATCCGGCTCCCAGCTAATGGCCTGGGAAAGCAGCAGAAGATGGCCTGGTCACTTGGGCCCCTGCACCTACACAGGAGATCAGGATGGAGTTCTGGGCTTGTGGCTTCAGCCTGGCTCAGCCCTGCCCATTTTAGCCATTTGGGGAGTGAACCAGCGATGGAGGGTCTCTCTCCCTCTCACTCTCTGACTCTCCCTCTCTGTAACTCTGCTTTTCAAATAAATAATTTTTTTTGACAGGCAGAGTGGACAGTGAGAGAGACAGAGAGAAAGGTCTTCCTTTGCCGTTGGTTCACCCTCCAATGGCCGCCGTGGCCGGCGCACTGCGGCCGGCGCACCGCACTGATCCGATGGCAGGAGCCAGGTACTTATCCTGGTCTCCCATGGGGTGCAGGGCCCAAGGACTTGGGCCATCCTCCACTGCACTCCCTGGCCACAGCAGAGAGCTGGCCTGGAAGGGGGGCAACCGGGTCAGAATCCGGCACCCCGACCAGGACTAGAACCGGGTGTGCCGGCGCCGCAAGGCGGAGGATTAGCCTAGTGAGCTGCGGTGCCGGCCTAATTTTTTTTTTTTTTTTTTTAAAGCATGAACCACAGCACCAGGAGTGAATGAGGGAAGTCTCTGCACACACGTTTCTAGGCAGTGCTCAATGTCGCACCCAGAGAAGGGGCCAGCAGTGCCCGGGGCGGGCCCCACACACACGCACCTCGCGGCCATCGGCATTGAACCTGTAACGGCCGATGACGTCCGGGGTGATCTCCATGACATCAAAATAGAAGCCTGAAACAAACCAGGACGAGAGGAGCCGTTGGTGGCCACACACACAGATCGGCTACTCGCCGTGTGCTGTGTCTCCACCCCCCAGCCCCACCGGGGGGCCCGAGCGTACCCTCCTCTCCTCCTCATCCCTCCACAGGACAGAGGGCACAGGCAGGCCTGGGCTCCCACACAGCTGCGGCTGCCCCCAGCCGCCCCCACGGCTCCTCCCACTCTCACCTAGCAGCCCGGACCACCGGACCATGCACGGCTGCCCCCAACCCGCCCCCAGTCCTTAGACTCGACCCAGGCTCGGAGAAGGAGGCACACAGTCTAGCTCCGAGGGCTGCCAGGAGGCTGCCAGGACTCCTTGCATGGCCGTGCATCTGGGGCAGAGAGCTGCGTGCAGGGACACACCAGGGAGGAGGCTGCCACCTCTGGTGCCGGCAGCTGGGACGCCGAGGGCTCAGCACACGTGGCTGTGCCCAGCTAGGACCCTCACTAGAACCCGGGGTGCCAGGGGCGCCTCCTCTCCCGCCCCCTCTGGCCCCAGCCGTCCCCTCCAGGAGCCAGCTGCGCCTCCTCCCGGGCCCGGGCATCAGTCGACAGCCTACCTAGCTGTCCACCGTTCCCCATCTCCGTGGACCCCAGGGCCCTGGAGAACTCGCTCCAGGAACAGGAGGCGGACTCGTCGCGGATCTTCTCTCTCATCAGGGAGCCATTCTTAAAGCTGCAGCAGGGGCGGAGCACACAGCTGAGGGAGGGAGCCAGGCCTGCAGCCTGGACCCAGGAGTTTCCGGACAGTCCAGCAGGAGGCGCTGCAGGTCAGGCTGAACCACAACCCCACAGCAGGTGCCCAAACCCCAGGCGCCAGGCAGACGGGGGCTGCGCTCTGCACACCACGCCCCGTCCTGCAGCCCCTCCCCACACAGGGAGCGGTGCCAGCGCAGCCAGGCTTACCACAAGAGGGCCATGTAGTGCCGGGGGTCAACCGGGTTGCAGAAGATGTGGCCTTCCAGAGCAGGTGTGGGCTCGCGGAGCCACAGGAACAGGGTGTCGCTGGTGCCCAGGCTGACCTGGGGACGGAGCGCAGAGGCGAGGTGCCGCCAGCCCTGCCCGCCCAGGCTCCCCGCTGCCAGCCAGCACGGCCCGCCCGGCCGCCCCCAGACCCATCGCTTCACTCCGCGCCCTGCGGACCTGACACGCGCTGAGCCAGCATCAGCCCCCAGGCACGGAGCCCTGTGCCGACGTCCCGGAACCCACCACAGGCTGCAGGTGAGGGCTGCTGCCCAGAGACTTCCCCTCTAAGCAGAGGCTCGGGCTGCATCTAACTGCTCGAACCCGGGAGCTCACGGCCGAGCCCCACCTCCACCCCTGAATCACCACCCCTACAGGACTGGTGCTGTCCAGCAGGACCTGTGTGTCCCCCACCCCCCCTACAGGACTGGCGCTGTCCAGCAGGACCTCTGTGTCCCCACCACCACCCCTACAGGACTGGTGCTGTCCAGCAGGACCTGTGTGTCCCCCCCGCTACAGGACTGGTGCTGTCCAGCAGGACCTGTGTGTCCCCCCTCCCCTACAGGACTGGCGCTGTCCAGCAGGACCTGTGTCCCCCCCACCCCTACAGGACTGGCGCTGTCCAGCAGGACCTGTGTGTCCCCCACCCCTCAGGACTGGCGCTGTCCAGCAGGACCTGTGTGTCCCCCCCACCCCTACAGGACTGGCGCTGTCCAGCAGGACCTGTGTGTCCCCCACCTCCCCTACAGGACTGGCGCTGTCCAGCAGGACCTGTGTGTCCCCACCACCCCTACAGGACTGGTGCTGTCCAGCAGGACCTGTGTGTCCCCCACCTCCCCTACAGGACTGGTGCTGTCCAGCAGGACCTGTGTGTCCCCCCCCACCCCTACAGGACTGGTGCTGTCCAGCAGGACCTCTGTGTGTCCCCCTCCCCTACAGGACTGGTGCTGTCCAACAGGACTTGTGTGTCCCCCCTTCCCCTACAGGACTGGTGCTGTCCAGCAGGACCTGTGTGTCCCCCACCCCCCCTACAGGACTGGCGCTGTCCAGCAGGACCTGTGTGTCCCCCCACCTCCCCTACAGGACTGGCGCTGTCCAGCAGGACCTGTGTGTCCCCCACCTCCCCTACAGGACTGGCGCTGTCCAGCAGGACCTGTGTGTCCCCCCGACAGGAGCAAAGGTGCTGCTGAGAGCCGGCACCCCGGTCTCCAGGGGCAGAAAGGCAGGCACAAGCGCTTCCGGTGGGAGGTCAGCTTACCGCGATGTCTCCTTCCTCCAGCTTCATGCCTGCCAGCGAGGCTGAGAAGAGAGGGCAGCTGCTGGTCAGCCGCAGGCACGTGAGGGCCACAAAGCAAACCAGCGTCCCCAAGACAGGAGCACCGCCCCACCCACCCCACCCCACGCTCGGCGGTGGCCCCAAGGCAAGACCTCCAGGGTCAGGACCTCTGCCTGGGCCGGGAAGTCTTCCCTAAGAGGATCCCAAACCCTCACCACTACCCGGGGAGGGAGTGCAGAGAAACTGAAGGCCAGGTGGACGCCAAGGACGGGGTCAAGGCTGAGCTCACTGTCTGCCCCGGGCCTCGGTCACTGATGCACCCCAGTGCTGGACAAAGGCCTGGTCACAGCAGGGGCTCACTCGGTCTTGGAGCCGTGGGGGGAGGGCCCCCAAACACTGCCAGGGAGGTTCAGGACCCTGGGGTCCGGAACCCCACCTGCCACCTGACCACCAGACGCTGCGCAGTGGCCGCCCCACCTCGGGACACGGCACACTGCCCAACCCAAGCAGAAGCAGGGGACCGGGGACCGTTCTGACGAGCCTGCAGGAAAACACTGCCTCCTTGGGGCCTCCTTTAACCTGCTGGCCAGCTCCCTCCGTGGGGCATCAGGGCCGGGGGGGTGGACAGACACACGGAGTTGGGCGGGGGCACCCCAGGAAGGCTTCACCAGAGCCCAACCTGGAATTCCCTGAAGTCCACAAGGCCCCAGCCGGGCCACCTCGGGAGAGAGGTCCCTCAGGCCACTCACCTGGGTTGTCGCCGGTGAAGGCGACCACTTTGCACCCTGGAGAAAACCCGTAGCGCTGCACGTAGTAGGAAGACACGGCTCCCTGAGGAGAAAGAGCAGGTACGTGGCTGAGGGGAGATCGGTGCCTGGGGACCCAGGCCGCCACTGAGCCCCTGTCACAAACCAGGCCTGGCCCCCTGCCCACGACGGCCGGAGGAGCTGTGCAGTCCGGACCCGGAGCACGGGATCTTCTCTGGGACCACAGATTCGTCACGAAAGACTGATTTATTTTCATCTGCTTGAAGGCAGAGCAACAGAGGGACAGACAGACAGACACAGAACGAAATCTCCCATCTGCTGGTTCCCTCCCTGAGTGCCCACAAGAGGCAGGGCTGGGCCAGGCAGGAGTCAGGAGC